GGGGGGGGGGCTGTGTTCCCAGAGTCTGTGGGTCCCACCGTATGGTGGTGGGGAGGGCGCTGGGACCCAGGCTGCGGGGGTGGGGCTAACCCCTCCTGTCCTTCCCCTCAGATGGGGAGTGGGTTCTAGAGGGTGCATGTCCCTTTTCCAAGACAGCCTCTTGCTGATCCGGTCTCCTGAGGACACATGCCCCCAGATGGGGAGCCCAAAGCACAGCCCTTCCTCGAGACTGGGCCTCCTCCCCTCTTTCCCATACCTCTGAGCTCAGGACCACCTCTAATCCCTGCATCCTTCCCAGACACATTCCCTGGCACAAGGCTAGAGGACACCATCAGAGGCTGCATCCAGGGAGAGCCGCCCAGCTCTTCACTCTCCATGCCCCCCAGCTGCAGCTGAAGGAAGATACTCAAGGTAGCTACCAAGAGGACTTCCAGGAACCCTCAGAGCAGGGGTTGGCAGCCAGGCCCCAACCTGTGGGTGGTCTGCTTGGAAGGCCGTTTCAGAGCCATGGCTGGCTGGGGTCCCCACCCGCCCCCACAGTCTTCTGACTGAGGTTTGGGGTGGTGGATTCCTGCTCTATTCCAGCTGACTCAGCCCAGCCGGGGCAGAGAGGCTGGAGTCCCCAGATGCTGCAGAAACCCACGTGGTGCTTGCACAGGGCCTCAGTTTCCTCCTGGCTGCCCCAAAGACCTGAGACTCAGAGAGAGAAGCTGTTGGCCCTGGGCAAGGGGGAGGATGGGCTCTGAGGCCCAGGCCGGGTCCCTGAGGCTGCCTGCCTTGGTGTGCATACGTGTGTGCAGGCACACCCGCACCCTGCCCGGCCACAGGCACCCAGCCTCCCACCGCAGGTCTCTGGTGCCACCCACCCGGGAACTGGAAACTAAACAGAGCTGCCCGCAGGCCTGGGCTGGGGCTCTCAGAGAGCCCGCCACGCGCACACGCACACTCAGGCAGCAGCGACCAAACCACCGCCACCCAGGGACTGCAGACAGGATCACACACGGATCACATTTCCCCCAGAAGGCTCTGCTCAGGGAGGCACACCTCCAGGTCAGCCTCTCCACGAAGGCACTCAGGGTCACCCAAAGGCCCTCCACACCCCTAGCCCCTTGATCCCACCCGAGTGCACAGCCTTGCCCCAGTGACGTCCACACACAGAGCAGGGGACCCTCCTGGTACACTCAGAGACACTCCCAGGCCTGCCCATTCAGTCCCCTACTCAGAAGACCACCGTGGCACACAGAATCACCCACAGTCACATGGTTGGGACACGTACACTGACATCATACTGAGTCAGTGTCACAGCCAGGCGCACCGTCAACACCTGACAGAATGGAGATCTGGGACACACATGCAGCAGCCTTCCTGGGACCTGACCTCTGTGATGGCACCCCAGCCCCGCCTGGCCCTCCACCCCTCTGCCCTGTGGCCTCCTCACCCTGCCAGAGCCCCCCCAGGAAGCCCCCGCCCTGGGCTAGACTTGGGGCCATGGAGAGGTTGAGAGCAGCTTCTCCCACCCCTAGGTCTGGGGTTGGAGCCCCCTGGGTGTGGAGCCTTCCTGGGACTGCAGGGCGATTAGAGTACTTCTGGCCTAGGGACAGTCTCTCCGCCCCTAGATGTGACAACCAAAAATATCTCTGGACATTGACAAGTGTCACCTAGTGGGGACAGAACCATCCTGGACTGAGCCGCTATTCTAGAACAAGGAGGGGACACGTCTGCTTTCTTGAAGCATCACTATCTGGAAATGGTGACAAGATCTGAATACCCCACAGACAGTAATGTCACAAGCCCACGGGCCAGTCACCAGAGGACAGGACCCCCAGGGAGCCCGGTCCCCAGGGGCCAAGTTTTTTTTTTTTCGAGGGCAAGGTCCTGGGCAGCCCAGGTCACCACCAGGCCGGGCTGCTAGCAGGGGCAAGCAAAGTCCCCAGCAGGGGAGGCCCCTGGAGCCCAGCCAGGCCAGCAGAGAGGTCCAGCAGGCCTGGTTCCAGGTAGGAGGCCTCCAGAGACCCAGGTCCCAGCCGGCGCCGGGGCAGGAGGCCCAGCCGGCCAGTCAGGTGAACCAAGAGGCGATGCTGGGCACCGTCTGGTACCTGGAGCCCTGCTGCAGCCGCCAGCAGGCTTTGCAGAAAGACAGCGCCCAGCTGCCCGACACGGGCCGCAGGGTCTCCCGCCAGCGGAAGTAGCCCAGGTAGCGCGCGGGGTCGCGGTCCAGCTCTAGCAGGTGCCGCGCCAGGGCCTGGGGGCTGGGGAAGTCCTCCACGTGGATGAAGGCGTCGGGCGGCAGGAAGCGCTCGTAGTTCTGCCGGCTGGGGCCCAGCACCACCGGCACGGCCCAGGCGCGCAGGGCGTTGTTCCACAGCTTCTCGGTGATGTAGTCGCGGTGCTGCGAGTTCTCGAAGGCCAGGTAGAACTTGTACTGCGCCAGGCGCCCCGCCATGGCCTGGCGGGGCAGCTGCTGGTGCGACCGCCCGAACACGTGCACCGGGAGGTGCGCGCTCAGCTGCCGGTAGTAGCGCACCCTGGCCGAGTCCTCTCTCCAGTTGGACACCACCCAGGCCACCAGCTCGGTCTTGGCCGAGAGGTTGAGGCCCGCGGGCTCGGGCGGGCCCGGCCAGGGCTCGAGCCAGCCGTAGGGCGTGAAGACGTCCGAGTCGCTGCGGTAGGACATGGTGAGGTTGAAGAGCCCGTCCAGGGCCTGCAGCTGGCGACAGTGGCTGGGCGACTCCATGCTGAACCACATCCAGCGCTGCCCGGGCGGCCGCGGGGACGGCGGCAGCTGCCTCCTGGGCGAGTCGCTGATCTCCCGGTGGTGCACGATGACAGCATCTGCCCAGGGGTACTGGCTGCGGTTCGTGGTCAGCTGGCAGTCGGCCTCACTAGGCCGCAGCTCCGAGCAGCGGGACAGAGCCACAGGGGTGTGGAAGGGCCACGTCCACAAGAGGATCAGGAGGGACCTGCCGGCAGGGGGACTCCAGGTGGCCAGCCCTGCTGACCTGTTGGCAGTGGGGGGGACAGGTTCCCTGCAGGGAACCTCTGCCCTAGGAGGTCCAGTGGGATTGTCCTGTGACACCCGCAGGTAGGAGTAGAAACTCAGAGCCACCAGCAGCTGCAGTAGCAGCCACCAGAGGTAGTGGCGCCAGGGACAGGACAGCTTGGCCTGGTGGAGCACATCCATGGTGGAGAGGCTGCGGGGAAGAGGGGAGACAGAGGCATTGAGGACAGGGACCCCGCGGAGGGGCACACAGGATTGCCAGAGATAATGGTGGTGGTCCCCATGGAGCCTGCCACGGTGCCTGTTTCACAGATGACAAAACAGCGAAGTGAAGCTGGATTCAGACCAGGAGACCTGGCCCCGTGTCCACTTCTTTCTAGCCACAGGGCAAGGGGACTCCATACTTAGGCAGGGGTCCCAGGGAAGCTGAGGTCCCACCCTGAGCCTACTCTTTCCCAGACTTTTCTCCAGTCTGGAGAGAAGAGTGTCCATTATAAATGTGTCCAGGTACTCCTGGAACCCAGGGCGGAGTGAAGGAGGTTTGGAAGGTCATGCGAGAGCTCACCAGGAAGAGCCGGGGGCAAGGGCACTGCTGGCTGAGGAAATGGCCCAGTGGATCCTGGAGGTGAGAGGGAGCCCAGCAACTCCTGGTAAGGTGAGGAAGTGCCCGTCTGAACTTGACTGGTGCTGGGCCAGCGCTCTGCACTGAACCACACTGCCCACCCCAGCTTGATTCAGCCAGCTCGCCACTCTGCCCTGTGAGGCCATGCAGGGTGATCCCGGGGCCCAGATGTGGCCCTCAGCCCCTCCCCACGGTGGGAGGAGGAAAGTGAGCAGGCCTCGGGCCCCAGGGAGGCGGGGCCAAGCAGGCGGGCAGTGCAGGCTCCCAGTCCTGGGGTCCAGGAAAGGAGCGGCTGGGGGTCAGACAGGAGCCGTGGGTGGGCCTTGTTCTGGAGACGGCCAGTTGGCGATTGGCGCTGTGGGGCCGGAGTGCCAGGGGAGGGCTGCGGGGCCCAGAGCATGGGCACAGGGTCTGGGGATGAGGTCCTGAAGGAGGAGGAGGAAACCCACCTTCGAGGGGTGGGCGGGCGGAGGCTGGGGTGTACAGCTGGGCAGGGATAATGTCCTGGTGCCCCTGTAAACGGCAGAGTGCAGCTGCTGGAGGGACCTGGGCAGGGGCCCTTCTCCTCAAGGAGGGCGCCCTGGGCAGTGTCTGGTACCCAGGGCCACTAGGGGACAGTATGACCCAAACCACAACGGCACGGGCAGTGAGGACAGCCACGGGCAGATGAACCTCAACACGGGTGTATGGTGGCCAGGTGCTCCTGTCCCCTCCAAGTGCTCCCAGACCCAAGACTCCAATCTCTGAGGCGGAAACCAAGACCCCAGCCTTGCCCCTCTTTGCCCCTAGTGGCCCTGGAGCCGTCCACTTGAAGTCCAGAGCGACACCATGGGCCTTCCCAGTCCACCAGGCAGAGCCGGGGGATCCAGACCGGCTCTGCCCTCCAGGCCACTGGCTTCTCCCCTGCCTTGCCCCCGAGCCGGACCAGAGCCACGGGTGCCCCAGGACTCTCCGCAGGTGGAGACCTGCGCATGCACCGTCCAGCGGGGGACTGAGGAGCCCCTCGACACTGTGTCCAAGCAACGTTCAATGTTAAATTTTAAGCCCGGCATTCTCTCCTGGACAACAAAAGCTATTTCAAAATTAAAATAAAATTATAATTAAAATTAAAATTAAAATTAAAATAAAAACCAAAATCGGCCCTCAGCATTCGCGATTCACAGGGAGGGGTGTGCAGAACCTGAGTGCCCTCCGCGGCCTCTATGCACATCCAGGGGAAAGCTGAGCCTCGCGAGTGTGTCCTGAGTGTGAGTCGCACGCCGGCTCCCAGACTTAGCGTGATATGCCCAAGCTGGCTTCAAACTCCTAGTCTCAAGCAATCCTCCTTCCTCAGCCTCCCAAGTACCTGTGTGTCTCTGTGCCTAGAAGAGTATATTATTAAAATTATTTTCACTATGTCTTTTTGATTTTTTAAAAAAATGGCAGCTGGGTATGTTGATGCATGCCTATAATCTCAGCAACTCAGGAGGCTGAAGGAGGAGGATGTCAAGTTCAAGGTCACCCTCAGCAACTTAGTGAGACTCTCTGCAAACGGGGGATGTAGCTCAGTGGTAGAACACCCTTGGGTTCAATCCCCAGCACCAAAAATACTGTGTTTAAATATGGTACTAGAAAAATATCAACTGCATGGGTTGGGGTTGGAGCCCGGGGGTAGAGCACTTGCCTGGCACATGGGAGATCCTGGGTTCGATCCTCAGCACCACATGAAAAAAATAAATAAAAATAAAGATATGGTGTCTGTCTACACTAAAAATATTAACTGCATACATGGCTTCCTGTGTGTTTCTTGGGGCTTGGTTCATTGCCCTTTAGTGTCTAAGAAATGGAAACCAGCAATAACTGTTCACAACTTGAACTGCACTGCCACGGGAAACATCTAGATGCCACACACGTGCACGGGGCATACAGAAAAAGGCTACGAGCCCATGAGGGGGAACTGGTTAAACTAGGGTCCTTCCCTATAAGGAATACTATGCAGCTGTGAAAATGATCAACAGCACCACACAGGCATAGACACAGGCACACAATGGAGACAGGGTTTGTGGAGGCTGACCCTCCAAAAGCATGGGAACCTGCTTAAGAAACAGTGACCCAAACTATCAGACAAGGAAGCAGTTTTTGTGGGTGTGGTCATAGAGATTGAACCCAGGGGTGCTCTACGACGGAGCCACATCCCCAGCCCTTTTTATTTAAGTTGCCCAGGTGGGCCTTGAACTTGCCATTCTCCTGCCTCTGCCTCTCAAGCCTCTGGGAGGACAGGTGTGCCCACTGGACCTGGCTGGAAGCAAATCTTTTTTTAGGAACCTAGAACTTAGGCTTCGTGCCCTGCATGGTTAAAATTCTCTGCCTGATACAAGAGTTCCCAGACAGGGCGTTGGTCCCCACATATATATTGAACCCAGGACACTCTACTACTGGGTTAAATCTCTGTCCTTTTTATTTAATATGTTTTATTTTGCTGAGGCTGGCCTCAAACTTGGGACCCTCCTGCCTCAGCCTCCAGAGCTGCTGGGATGACAGGTGTGTGCCACGGAGTCCAAAAACTTTCAAATTTAATTTTTTTTTTCAAATAAAAATTCCCCCCATTCAACAGAACTTCATTACTTTGGACAGAACCTATTCCACACTAGTCACTGAAACATTAGCATTAGAATGAGGTGCGAAATCCACCAGGGTTGGTGAGACACAGGGGCTCCCGGTGGACCCTGCCTGGGTGGAGGGGAAGGAGGCTGGAAGGAGATGTCGGTTGGGTTGCCAGGATCTTTTCATTCTTTTAATATGGCTACTGGACATTTTGAATTACATTGGTGGGGTAAAACAACTTGGTAGTTCCTTAAAAGCCTCACCATAAACCAGGTGCGGGCCATCTAGTTGTCCCAGTGACTCAGGAGGGTGAGGCAGGAGGAGGGCAAGTTAGTTCAAGGTCCACCTGGGCAGCTCAGTGGGAGCCTGTCTCAAAATAAAAAGGGCTGGGGTGCTGCTCAGGGGTGCATGTGTGAGGCCCTAGTCCACCCGCAGCACCAGGGAAAGGGAGGAGGGAGGGAGGGAGGGGGGAGGG